ATCAAATGTTTGAAACCCCTTAAAGAAATCAAGGTGGACAACTTCAGTTCCTGTTGCAAGATGTTCCAGGTGCAGGAGCCGAGTAGGAAAAGGCCTTTTCTCCAAGTTCAGTCCGCACTGAGTGAACGCTGCAGGTAATGATGTCCTGAGAGCGCATGTTGTAACTGCACTGATGACGTGACATGTGGGAGGAGATATAGCAGCAGACCAAGGAGGGATTTATAGATGAAGATGAACCAGTGTGAGAGCCTACGTGTAGACAATGATGACCAATTGACCAATGAGTACAGGGTGCAGTAGTTTATGAATCTTATTGCACCATGGTAGACAGCATCCAACATCTGCAGCATCCAACATCTGCAAGGAGCTGGCAGGGGCATTCATGTAAATAATGTCACCGTAGTCGATGACTGGTAGGAAGGTAGTGGTTACAAGGCGTTTTCTGGCATTCAGAGTTAAACAAGATCTATTTCTGAAAAAAGTAGGAATAGCAGCACAAGTAGTAAGTAGTTTATTTTACTATACATATACAAACAGTATACATATATGTATATATGTGTGTGTGTGTAAAGGTGTTTTAAATCCTTCCCACACTCTTGCAGTATTCTAAACAATGTTTCTAAATTCTAAACGCTCTGAGTCATGTCATGATTTCCCTCTTTCTGCCTCCTCTGCTCTCAGCCACCTGCAAGCGCTCTTGGCCACGCCCACTTCTCAGCGCTGCATGGTGAACAGCTGATCAGCTGCAGGAGGAAGCTTATCATGCAGTGCGGGCTGCACAGAGGTGCTAAATAATTTAAAATAATTTATTATTTTAAAAAAAAATTCCACGCCAATCGTGCAGCTCATCCATCAATCAGCCAATCGTGTGTCGTGTCCAATCTTATTTTGAAAAACCGCGACAGAGCGAGGAACTACTGTATAATTTTATTAAACTTTTAGATATACAAAAACACAACTATTTCAGAAAAAGATCAACAATGTACATCAAATGATTTTTTTTTTAAAGTGAGAAATTTTACATTTTAAATTTGAAATAAGATTAAATACATAATAAAAATGGCAGCTGTGTTTAAATAACTTGGCATAAATCCTCCATTACGTCCACGTATTTCCACCGACACGACGCAGATTAGTCCGTCCACATGAATGATTCAGTTTCTGCTCCTTTTCATCAGTTTATCTTTGCGTTTTACAGTTTGGACTCTTCTTTCCTGCCATGTGCAGAGAAGTTCCTGCAGTGTTTGGGTCGTTTGGTTCCAAAAAAAACACATTTTTGGAAACAACAAATAAAAAGAAGGCTTTGTTTTGTAAAGAGTGTTCTCTTGGTCAGTGAGCTGTCACTCAAGCTGCGTGCAGCATCACCGATTGTGCCATTTGATGGGTATTATGAATCTGTGAGGCAAACGGGGACAAGGAGCGTGTCGGAGCGGCCACGGCGCACCGGCAGACTTGGCGTGAGGCCGGATGGTGTGCCAGGTGCTGATAAGGAGACTGGCACGGCAGATCCAATGGAGCTGGGATTTCTGTTCGAGTCGCAGAACGATGGATGCAGGAGCCACTTCTGCCGTCACACCACTATTTGATTTTTTTGTTCGTTTTTTAGAGAGTACAATACGAGTGAGCGCGCACGTGAAGTCAACACTGCCTGATGGATAGCGCTCCTCGACACCGCAGACCCTGCTGTGATGAATGATGGAGGAGCTGCATCTCTTCTGGGCTTTCCCCTCATCATCAAAGCTGGCTTACAACGAGATACAAGATAGGACTTCCCTGAGGGAGAGGAGGACGGAGCAGCCCACGGGTCACGCAGATCAATACAAAGGTCAACCAATCAATCCGTCACAGCAGCTAATTTACCTCGGATCAAGCATTGATGTTGGGGTGCACATGAAAGCAGCGCGGTGTGGAGGAATGTGCCAACACGTCCCGCAGCTCTCAGGTGCCGGACGTTCAGATGATTTACTCTCTACGCTCAAACAGCCACTCACTGTCGACGAGCTGAAGCCGTTTCTGCACAGCTGTCGCTCAGAAACGACTTGAGTCATCCAGGAGACTCAGAAAGGACGTCCCGAATTCAAAACCCAGACAGAGTCCACGTGCACAAAGCAATCTGTACACACGTGCACAAAGCAATCTGTACATCTACCAGAAATCTGACTCTGCACACAAAGACCAACACCTGTCAATGAACAAAGCATAAACACATGAAGATCTCGACATTCTCGCCTGAAGGAAGAATCCTCAAACCAGTGACACGTGACCGGATCAATACTCCGAGCAGATTTAAACACCTTTAAATGAAAATATAAAAACAACTGAAGTCCTATGTGTTGTGCATGTTTTTGAAATATATTCGTTTGCAATAACGCATTTTGAAAGACTTCAAAACTGGCTGTGATCATTAAATTATAAGGAAGTAAAGACAATAATATATTTATGACCGGTTATTTTTAAATGATGTGCAGAGGTATTTATGGTCTCATTAAACCCTTTAGACATGTAGATGTGATTAGTTGTTAATCCAACTCATAATTCTTTTTGGCCTGATGAAGGTCTAATAATGATTAGGAGTACAGTAATAAATTGATATATGTATATATATATATATATATATATATATATATATATATATA